TTCCAGAAGATAGATGTAGATGCTGCCAAAATCGACCGAAGGCCACTTTCGAGAGTCGTTTTTCCATACATCTGCAGGCAGTCTGTAAGGGCAATCCGACAACCCACACAGCTCTAGTTTACGCTGGTAACGACCTAGAGCACACCCCTCAAGTCCAGAGATGTAATCCGAAGACATGCAGCGATTTCTTCGGTCGTTAATTCAGAAAAAATACCTAGTGCGCTCTGCCTGGCTCATACTTGCCAACCCTCCCGATTTTCGCGGGAGACTCCCGATTTCATTGCCCTCTCCCGGTTTCCTCCCGGGGTCATATTTCTCCTGCATTTCTCCCGATTTCTGACAAAATCAGATTTACTCACGACTGTTTCCACTCGGACTTTAATATAGCTACACCATGGTTTGGTTTCCATGGTAGCGCGTCTCTTTAGTAGCGTGCGCAACTGAAAGTCTGAGAGGGTGAGGCAGATAGTCACATAAAACAGAACAAGAATCGACAACACGACCCTCTGCTCACTCCTCTCCTGTAAAATACAGGTCCAGCCCACATATGCTCCATCGAGGATGGTGCTACAGGCTGCAAGACATTGCACTTACAACTACAATAAGCATGTTAATGTTAATCTAATACAGCTCCCCCCCCCCCGCGGTGGTTTTGAAATGCTCCCGATTTCTGAGTTCACAAGGTTGGCAAGTATGCTAGCTGTTTATATTAGCACCTCCAGGATATTTGCACCTCCAGATAAATGGCGTATTTATATATATATATATATGGCGCGCGTTGCATTGTGGGTAGCTCGTGACGTCACTGTGTGTGAAAGAATAGTCTTTCTAGTTGCGTCTTATATTTCAGCAGTTTTACGACAAACTGTGACTTTTTTGACATGGAAATGATTTTTTAAGATTGACAAACATCATATGTGTAATTCATGGCACAATTCAAACGGGATTGAAAGATACGTTTTCTCTCTCCATTGACTTCAATACATTATTTTTCCGAAGTAAGGTCCCATGGACCGGAAGTAGATGGGCGTGACTTCACTCTATACTGACGGGCTGTCAGGAGAGAGAGAGAGAGAGAGGAAAAGAGAGCGCTTCCGTTCATTTCTCCCATGTTATTATCCAGTGAATGTAAACTTGAATAATGTACTTCATTTGAATGTAATAATTATGTTGGTTGTTGTTCGTGGAAGCGCCAGTGAATGAGCCCCATGAACTGAGTTTTAAACATCACTTTAAATGGAAGATCCCCATAGCCCACTCGATCGGTATCGGCCGATACTGATTCCGGCGATCAGCCCCAAAATTGGCGATCGGAGCATTCCTGCTATAAATAGAGATGGGGAAAAACATCCAACAAAAGAAAACTGTGAAAGTGTGTCTAACATGTGGTCCAGGCTCTTGTCATCTCACGCCTAGACTACTGCAACTCCCTCCTGGCTGGTCTACCTGCATGTGCCATCCGACCTCTGCAGCTCATCCAGAATGCAGCGGCTCATCTGGTCTTCAACCTTCCTACATTTTCCCACACCACTCCGCTCCTCCGCTCCCTTCACTGGCTTCCGGTAACTGCTAGAATCCACTTCAAGACACTGGTACTTGCTTACCATGCTGCAAATGGATCTGGCCCTTCCTACATCCAGGACATGGTTAAACCGTACACCCCAGCGCGTGCACTACACTCTGCATCAGCCAAACGACTCGCTGCGCCCTCGCTGCGAGGGGGACCCAAGTTCCCATCGGCGAAAACACGTGGGTTTGCTGTCCTGGCTCCAGGATGGTGGAATGAGCTCCCCATTGACATCAGGACGGCAGATAGCTTGCACATCTTCCGGCGCAGACTGAAAACTCATCTCTTTCGACTCTACTTCGAGCGTTAGAACTATTAACGAAGCACTTTTATACTAATAAAGGACTGGCTTACCTATAGCCAGTTGAGTAGCACTTGAAATGTTTGGCTCTATGAAACCTGATGTACTTATATGATTCTGTTTTCTTCAAGGTTGTGTGGTCGAATGTACTTATTGTAAGTCGCTTTGGACAAAAGCGTCAGCTAAATGCAATGTAATGTAATGTATCAAGTGGACATATTGTTGCTCTGCTTCTGTTTACATAAAATAATCAAGCTAAACTTTAGCAAGTATAATTGTTTAATTTAAACATTCACAAGAGGAACATGAGACAACAATGAGATGGCACAAACATTATAAATACAAAACTGTTCAAGATCAGAATATCAACACATAGAACTATAAGAATGTATAGAAACAAGAGGACATGTTAAAATATATATGTCGAGTACTTTGAAAAGGCCACGGTGTGATTAGTGTAGAAACAGCAGGTTTATTCAGAAACACAATTTAACACCAGACTAAAAGCATTAATATATATTACAGTTCTTTCTATTTGACTTTCACAGTGGTTAAATTACCCACAACCCAGTCGGAACCTGAGACTTAAGTTCCACGTGCAATGGTGTGATTACGGAGCCAGAAAGCGATGCACGTTTACTCGCGTGTGCGGTGCGCCGTGTTTGTTTTAAAAAAACGGCGAAGCAAATTAAGGTTTAACTGTGGGGTAAAAAGTTCGGCCCACCCGTCAACATCTCAAACGAATGTTCAAAGTGATTAAACTGATAAAGCGCAAGATGAACCCGAACGAAAAGCAAAGAGGAAATGTGTAAAGTCTTGGGAAGCGAAATATATATGTACATTCTGCTCATGATTCTGCTCTGTTGTGCATTCACTTCCGGTAAAAGTTCCTTCAAAATAAGAGTCCCGATCTTATTACTACCAAAATAAAAGTGCAGAACGAAACTTTACCATAGGAAAATATTGGCGTAAAAATATAATCATTTCTATAAAAAGGCAACACATTTTAAATATAGTTAGACATATTAAAGGTAATTTACAGCATTAATAATTAATATCTAATTCTTAACTGTGAATGGTTTTCATTTATTTAACATTAGAAATGTATTAGTCTGGCCAATCCAAGACTTCAATGCTGAAGGGCCAATGGATCTATGGTGGGGGTCAGCACAAAGGTCAGGAAAACCCAAACTTGAAAGGGAAACAACGGATGACCAAGAAACTAGTGACTTGCTCAATTCATTTGTGAGGGATCTGTGAAGAACAGGACAACAGCTGCACCACTGGTATTTAGTATACCAGCAATTGAGGGTGGACAAGTTTACTACCACTTAAGTTTCAAATAATTGAATTAGTTAATTACTTATTGTAAGGCATTTGAACATTCTTTTGTGTCACATTTTCATTATTAAGTTGATGTATAACTGTATAGTATCTTAATTATTTAAAATATAAGGTGACTAAAAATGGAAACCGTATTTTCAGTTTTGGAAACCAAAAGCTGATGCCTGGTTGCCAGCCTGGCAACCACTTTTAAAAGTCAGCGTTGTGCCCTGCCTAAGTAAAGGGTCTGAGTCCTTCGTCCTGCACTGAACCTTTGGATTGAAACATGAGGGATAACTGATAAAAAAGTAATGAGAAAATAAAAAAGTGCAGAAAAGCCTTAAGGAGACATTCCTTGTTTATAAAATATATTATTTGATATATAGTAGTTACCTATAATTAGGGATGGGTATCGTTAAGGTTTTAACGGTACTACTACTTTTATCGATACCGCTTATCGGTCTGGTCTTTTAACGGTACTTTTATCGGTTCTTTTGGAGAAAAAAAAATTGTGAACAAAACTAACATTGCTTTTTATTTAAATTTAAATTCATAATATTTCACCTCAAAAGAAACAACAACGTTTTAACAAGTCGTAATAAATAATGTGATGACAGAACTGTAAACAGAATAGCTGAAACTTTAACAAAATAAATAACTCTAATCATGAACCCATGTTTGTATCATTGAGTTAACCCCTTTTGTATCTGCTAGCATACATAACACCTGACGTGGAAACGTTACTCGTGGATGGGGGGGGGGCTACAGAGCTACTAGAAAGTAGTGCTGGGGGGAAACGATTATTTTGAAAACGATTAATCGGGCGATTATTTGATCGATTAGTCGACTAATCTAACGATTATTTTTCTGTTGTTCAATTCATAAAAAACGTAATGTAAAACTTTTTTGTTTCACGATACTGTGTCTCAGGGGATCTTAATATTTAAGAACCTATTAATGTGTTATACCAGATTAACGGAAATAATCTCAGCTAATTGACGATACAAACCATGTTTACCAAAACAAAACACAAGTCTCATAAGAAGCATCTAAATGACCCCTGAGCGAAAAATGCTAACGGACATTGGCACAGAACTCAAGATAAAAGTACCCTTATTACTTATCGTAGCTGCACATACAATATATCCGATTAAAGCTGAGACTCCACAGATTATGTAGGTATATAGTATCATCACTGAGTGATCCGGACTCGCGACAGGGGAAGCAAATACAGTCATCACAACACGTACCTTCACAGAGCTTCTAGGGAGATCGTCTTACCACCGTAGCTGTCAATCTGATCAAAAGACGTGTTCAATGGCATTAAAATGAGAAAAAACGCGGCTGAATCGGTTAATCCATAGGTTTTTAACGTCTATGTATAAAAAAATGATTGAATTTATAATCCATAATTCCATTTTATGTAAAAATCGGAGAGCAAATGCTAGCTGCTAATGGTAGCCACCACAGCTAGCTGCTGCTTCTGCTAGGCTATGCAGCAGTCTAAGTGAGATATAAATATATAAATATCTTTGCGTTTTGGACTAACTTTAAAATATTCCCATGCTTTTGAAGACCTAGGGCGAGATGTTTTCGTTTGGGGGGCTTCGTGCGCAATCCTGTGAGGAGGAGGTGGTAGCCGTTTCAGTCTCCATTGTGTTTGAAGTGCGATTGCGAACTGCTTGTTGCCTTGGGTGACCCACGTGTGTGTAGCGACGCGTCGACGCGGAAATATGTCGTCGACGATATTTTGAAGTCGACGTCGTCGACGCGTCGCTACAGCACTACTAGAAAGATAGTCGAACCCGGTGCATTCCTCCGTCTGAATGTGGAGCACTTTTGCTAAATGTTTAGACAAATTGCTCGTGTTACCGCCCTTACATGCTAAACTCTTATTCCACTTTTGGTAACGAGCATCGAGACGGGTAAAGTTTAACCACACCTCGGAGCGCGTTCTCTCCGCCATCTCCTCCGTGTGTGTGTTGCTGCATCTAGCAGAGCGTGTGTGTAAACTGCCCCGCCCCCTCGCAAGCAGGCGGGCGAGAGAGAACGAAAATACAAAAAATAATCATAGACGCATATTTAAGTCTTTTTGCGTATTAGAAACGGAGTTGGCGACACTAAAACTGCAATATAATGTTTGTGTAGCAATAATACATATGACATATTTTTTACATGTCTCCAGTACCGATAAAAAGACCGCTAACGTCGGAGCTTAACGGTACCACGGTCTTTAATAATTCAGCCCCGGGGCCCGTTTAATACCGGGGCTCGGTACCCATCCCTACCTATAATAGTTCTCTTAACTAAACAGTTAACACTACAGACACAGCTGAAGACAATAAAGAGTTAGTTGAGCTAGTTAGTTGGGTTAGTCCAGCTGCTGCAGATTTGTTTGCCTCTCACAGCTGGACTTTGCTGCCTTTATGGAGTAAAGCACTTCCTGTGTGTCACCATTTGATGAAGACCAGTGCAGCGAGCACGGTGTAGCCGAGGATGAGGAAAAGCACTTTGAGCAGCCGGTCCTGTTTGTCTTCCAGCTCTCGGGAGAGGATCTCAAAGAAGGTGACAAACAGGAAGGTGCCCGCGGCGAATCCCTGTAGCACCACAGACACCACGCTGCCCGCCAGCGTCTGGGTCGACTCGATGCCCATCCCCACCAACATCCCCAGCGGGATCATAAGGCTGACTGTGATGCCCAGCTTAGCGGCGTCCTTCATGCCAAGCGATGCCTTGGCCACGCTCACCCCGAGGGCCACTGTGGCCAGCGTCTCGTGCACAGCCACGCCCAGGAAGAGGCTGGCCAGCTTTGATCCATCGTCCTGCAGGCCAAGCGCCAGGCCCTCGAATACAGAGTGAGCAGACAGAGCCAGCACCAGGCTGGCCAGCCGCAGAGGCCCCGCCCCCGCCAGCTCGGCTGGGCTGAAGTGTCCGTGCTGGTGTCTGTGAGAGCGGTGACTGCCCGCACCCCCCGGCGTGCCGAGGTTAGAGGAGATGAAGGGCGTCTCGTACTCCGAGTCGCTGCCGGCCTCCGACCCGACGGCATTGAAGGTCTCTAGATCGATGAAGGAAGGCTTCTCTTTCCTGAAGGTGAGCACAGATTGCTCCACGAACACCGTGAGGAAGAAGCCGAGCATCATCATCGTCTCAGCCAGAGGATAGTCGCTGCTGATCTTCAGCAGCTGGAACACGTCGGCCACCTGAGGAGAGCACACACTTAAGATCAAAAGGAGAAAGACCAGAGGCCTGTACGACGAAGCTGGTTCAACCTAACCTGGATATGTTTGAGTTAGCCGGTTTACCTAATCCAAAACAAACACGCTCTCGCTAAGCGGTCCTACGACGCGGGTTATCAACTCGTTAACTCAAGCCAGCCGTACCCTATCTAGTTAGGTGCACGTTCACATAAAAGGGGTGGTATTTGGAGCGATCGACCAATCGGAATAATGGAGAAACTGTTATTTCACGGCGGAGGAGCAGACGGTGACCATGAGCCAATTTGAAGCACATAATTAAGGCTAAAAAAAGCAGTACCCTTGCAGCTGCCAAAAGTCGCCAACAATGTTGGCAGCAGATTGCAGACTCTGTGAATGCGGAAAAATAAAATACGTATGTAACAGTGTGCACAGCTGAACATCTTTAAAAAGTGTATTGGATGCACGGCAGTCATGTACAAAAATAAATCCGGCGCTTGCAGATTAATTTGTTTGTTTACCGGATAAATAGTAGCCTAATTAAAATACCAAATTGATCATTGAGTGGCAGCCTTTTTTTCTTTATAATATCATCGCCCGATGGTCACAAGTGGACTTTAAGCTTAATATTTTTGTAATCCTTTTAATTTATAGCATTTTTTTCGTTTTTCAGATGTAACCCCAGCAGGGCTCGCAATTAACGATGTCCCGATGTCCCGGGGACCATAACAATTCCTACTGGGACACAAATCTATTTTGTCTGGGACTATTTCGGGACAGTGAAAAAAAAATGAAAAGTAAACTTCAAAATGGGTGTTATTTGCAAAGTCATTGGGCTGTCAAATCATAGAATGCATTCTACGTCATCCACTCTGCTGCTGACTGCTGCTAGACTCGCGCCAATGCAACGGTCACGACAGTTAAAAAAAGTAGAAAGAAATGCTGAGGTGGTTGAATAAACAGCCCCCTGATGCAAGCCCCAATTCTGCCGACTCCCGAAACGAAAACATCCCAAGTCCTGGTCATGATGCATCGTCTTCCACTGTGGTAAGTTAGTTGTCTTAAGTGTCAATGTTAGCTAACTAACGCTAGCGCTAACTAACGCTAGCGCTAACTAACGCTAGCGCTAACTAACGCTAGCGCTAACTAACGCTAGCGCTAACTAACGCTAGCGCTAACTAACGCTAGCAACTGAAGTGTGCCTTACAATGCATACAAACGTCCTAAAATGCGGTGTTCTTTTGAAGTTTGTGAAAATGATGTGAAATACAGTTGATCAGAATAAGAGGTGTAGCCGATCATTTTTGTATTTTCTTTGTCAGCCAGTCAGTGACCAGGCTAGAATCTTTAGCTGCAAAAACGTAAGGCATTTAGCTAATCATTTAGCTTTTCATCTTTTTTTAGTGTTTTAGTTTTTTTGGGTCAAGAACGTCAGTCAGATTGGGTGACGATTAGAAAGGGGGTCGCAAGGTAATTTTAGTTTGTCAAGAATCAACTCTGGTATGAGAATAATGTGTCATGTTAAGAGAGAGTAATGTTCCAGTTGTTTTTGTGCCTAGGGGGGAGGGGGTGGATGAATGAGTGAGAGCAAGATGATTGACATTCATGAATGAAGATAGAAGATCAATTTATATAATAATTAATAATAATTCCTTACATTTATTATAGCGCTTTATCAATGACTCAAAGCGCTTTAACATATACACACATTACACATGTTATACAGGGAACACATGCAAATTGATGCAATGGTCAGATACTGTGGACAATACCCACAAACGTATTCCTATAGTACTACTGACTTGTGAGGATAACTTGTAATTAGAACTGAAAACAGATACATTTATTAAACTGTATTATGGAACTTCTGTTTTTTTATTGTCATTCATACCACTTTTATTGCCAGATGGAGGGTTCCGATCATAAAACACAGAGACCATACAGCCATATTGAATTGAAAAATACAAATCAGAATTCTTCTATGTTGACATGACAATGATAAATTAGTCTGGATATTGAGAAACAATAGAAAAACATGTCTTAAAACAACTCTCTTCCCTTCTACTCTAGGAGAGGCAACAGATCAGACTAATATTCATATGTTTAAAAGAACAAGTATTTTAAACTTACATGGTGGACCAGAGTCTATGGTGTGATGATTAAGTGACAAAAAAGTATCAAATTATATGTATTCTGCATAATTGGGGGGGCGACGATACAAATTTAAATTTGGGACACTGCTGGTTATATCCGGGACAATACAAAGTAGAATTCGGGACAGTTGTGGGACACTGAGGAAAAAAGTTAATTTCGAGCCCTGAACCCCAGCGGGTCTAAAAGGACCTAGGGCATAAAAACTGTAACTATAAGTATCTGAAATAAATATGTGTTGCATCGTTTTCTTATGCGCAATTACTTCATACTGTCTGTCTTTTTCGTCCTGCATTTATTGTGCCTCTCTCAGAAAATAACAGGCCCCAGCCTGGCACCCCCCCCCCCCCAGTAAAATTGGTCTAGAACCGCCACTGCTAAACAAACTGTAGTGTATGCAGTGGGTGTTTCTCAATGTCGAGGATGCTTCCTTGGTAGGACATGTCCCTCCGAGACAGGTCTTTCAGAGGCTAGGCAAGAATCCTTCCTTTCATTCGGAGAACGAAGAATGGGACAGGCTAGCAAGTGTACGTCATATGAGAGGCCCCGCCTTAAATTTACCGCCAAAGATTTTGGAAATTGGTCCGTGCGCAAAGCATTGTGGGGATTTTAAGACTGCAACGAAGGATTCAAGAACTCCAAGGATCCTGGATATTGGAACAGTTCCTCGGCAGGACTCGATGACGTAGCATCCTTGAAATAGTGGCTCTGGAGGAGCCTTCCTCGACATTGAGAAACACCCAGTATGTGTGTTACTACCTTCTCTCTGACGGCGGGCAGCAGAGCGTTGAAGCACGTGGCCAGGAACACCCCCCCTCCGAAAGAGTTGCAAAGAGACAGCGCTCTCCTGTACCTCAGGGCCCCGGAGTCCGCCTGCAGGAGGCGCACTGGGACCAGCACACCCGCCAGCATGAGGCCGAACAATCCCAGCAGCCCGAGCAGCTTGGCCACCAGGATCTCCATCCTGAAGCTCAAACACACAGCCTCATCACACACACCTCCACTCTGCTGCTGCTGGGACACACAGAGACATGGGAGTATGAGACATTAGATTACATCAGATTCTAAAGTCTAAGATAAGATGTCCTTACAGCAATACACACATTATGGAAACCTTCAACTACTTAAAGGAAACACACACCGGGTGTCTGTTTACACCGTTTTGCACTATTATACCAATGTCGTCGTTTCAAGTGATAAATGACATCAAGTTATATCATCAACTTCCTGTGAGAAACTTCAAAATAAAACATAACCGCGAATCATAACCAGTCTATGAATACATCTCCCAAATATATGTATCTTTAAGTAATCCCTCTTTGTATAACATCAGTATTTTTACGTTTCTTCAGTAAGCTAGTCAATGCGGTCCTCGTTAACACCGAGGACCGCATTGAGCACTTCCGCTCTTGTTCTTGTTAAGAGCAGCTTGCTTGACGGAGTTCATCACACTAGCTAGCTGTCGTTCGCCCACCGTCAGCTACATGTGCTAACTAACACCTGAAATCCAAAGTTATAAATGAAAGCGGTGGTGCTCATCTGTGTTTTGGGCTCGAAGCTGCGTCTTCGACTAAACATAAACATTTTAAACCCGCAAAACATTAGTCAGCGTCATGTGTTTACCAGTGGGACCCTCCGTTTTCTCTCCATACATCCATGTTTCTCTCCAGCAGCAGCAGGTGCATGAAAACACTTCCTCATTGACGTCACGCGGCCTCCGGGCGTTGAGTTGTGGAAATGTTGTGAGGAAATTCTTCTTCTTCTTTAGTGTTAATTGGCGGTTGGTAAACCAACTTGTAGGTGCATTACCGCCACCAACTGGACTGGAGTGTGGACAACAGACTATGCAGAAAACAATAAATAAAATAAAGAACCAAAACTCTAGATTATTTTTAAATTGATCAATTTCTCTTAGAAACGTAATAATCTCACAATACATATCGCCTGATGTTTTCCCTAACAGCCCTGATAGCGACAAGTCATGGAATGTTGCTTTCTTCAGTGTCTGGAAAAGCACATTTCTCTGAGTACTATATTTCCTGCAAAGCAGTAAAACATGCTCAACAGTTTCTGGCTGGCTGCAGTGTATACACTTTCCGGTTGGATGCTTTCCTATTATACTTAATGTATGATTGAGACCTGTATGACCTATTCTCATCCGAGAAATGACATTTTCCTCCCTTCTTTTAAACCCCACCTTCCTTCCATCCCCCACATACCTTTGAATTTTATAAAGATGTCTTCCTGTATCACAAAGGTCCCAATGTTCTTGCCATGTTGTTTGTGCATATTTCTGTATGAATGTTTGAACCTCCGCTTTGCTGAGTGGAACTTCTATGAATATGTTCATACTTCTGAGTGTTTGTTTGGCCAGAATATCCACCTGTTCATTACCCTCCACACCAACATGAGCAGGAACCCAGATGAAACGAGTTGCTATGCCTTTGTTTTGCATTTTATATAAAATTAGAAATATTTCATTTATTATGTCCATTCTAGATGAAGATCTACCTGATCGTATACTCGATAATGCTGAAAAGCTGTCAGATGCAATTACACTATTATGTATTTCTTTCTCCTCTATCGATTTCAATGCCAACACCAATGCCAACAACTCTGTGGTGTATACTGACACATGGTCTGTTACCCTTTTCTTTATATGTGTATTACTCACTGGGATATAAACTGCTGCCCCTGCACACCCTGTCTCTGGATCTTTGGAGCCATTTGTAAATATGATTGTTGAGTCTGAGTGATATCTTGCAAAATAATTCTGGACTATGCGCCATACTGGTAGTTCTTTCTTTTCCTTTAACTCCTCTCGTATATTGAGGTCTACACTTGGCAATGGGAGCAACCAGGGTGGAATGGAGGAGATTGGAACTGTGGGGCAATACTGTATTTGATTCAAACCTATACTTGCTGCTTTAACATCGCCAATCCATCCAAAACTTGTTAAATGTGACTCATTGTGCTCGCAGCAGTCTTTCAAAAATACTTTTCGCAGGATGACTATCACTGTGCCCCTGAAGGTTTACCCAGTATGCCAACATTAACTTCACTCTTCTTATCCTTAAAGGCATTTCTTCCATTTCCACCTGTATTGCTGATACTGGAGATTACATTACATTACATTGCATTTAGCTGATGCTTTTATCCAAAGCGACTTACAATAAGTGCGTTCGACCAGGAAGACACAACCTTGAAGAAAACAGAATCATATAAGTACATCAGGTTTCATAGAGCAAAAACATTTCAAGCGCTACTAAACTGGCTTTAGGTAAGCCAGTCCTTTATTAGTATATAAGTGCTTTGTTAATAGTTCTAACGCTCGAAGTGGAGTCGAAAGAGATGAGTTTTTAGTCTGCGCCGGAAGGTGTGTAAGCTATCTGCTGTCCTGATGTCAATGGGGAGCTCATTCCACCATTTTGGAGGCAGGATAGCAAACCCACGTGTTTTTGCTGATGGGAACTTGGGTCCCCTTCACAGCGAGGGCGCAACGAGCCGTTTGGTTGATGTAGAGCGGAGTGCACGCGCTGGGGTGTACGGTTTAACCATGTCCTGGATGTAGGAAGGGCCAGATCCATTCGCAGCACGGTACGCAAGTACCATTGTCTTGAAGTGGATTCTAGCAGTTACCGGAAGCCAGTGAAGGGAGCGGAGGAGCGGCGTGGTGTGGGAGAATTTAGGAAGGTTGAAGACCAGGCGAGCCTCTGCATTCTGGATGAGCTGCAGAGGTCGGATGGCACATGCAGGTAGACCAGCCAGGCGGGAGTTGCAGTAGTCTAGGCGTGAGATGACGAGAGCCTGGACCAGAACCTGAGTCGCTTTCTGGGTCAGCTGGGGACGTATCCTCCTGATGTTGTAAAGCGTGTATCTGCAGCAGCGGGTTGTAGCAGCGATGTTTGCAGTGAAGGACAGGTTGTTATCTAGGGTCACACCCAGATTCCTTGCAGTCTGAGTCGGGGAAACAACAGAGGTGCCGATGTTGATTGTTAGGTCAAGAGTGGGACAATCTTTTCCTGGAAGGATAAGCAGTTCAGTCTTGTCAAGGTTGAGCTTGAGGTGGTGAGCAGACATCCACTGAGAGATGTCAGCTAGACAAGCAGAGATGCGTGCAACGACCTGGGTCTCTGAGCGGGGAAAGGACAGAGTTAATTGGGTGTCGTCAGCGTAGCAGTGGTATGAAAAACCATGCGGGCTAATGACTGATCCGAGCGAGTTTGTGTACAAGGAGAAGAGGAGGGGACCAAGAACAGAGCCCTGAGGGACCCCTGTAGTTAATTGACAAGGGTCGGACTCGGACCCTCTCCAAGTTACCCTGTAGGTACGGTCTTTCAGGTATGAGGTGAGGAGGGAAAGTGCAGAGCCTGAAACTCCAAGTTCTTGGAGAGTGTGAAGGAGGATCTGATGGTTCACCGTGTCGAATGCAGCAGACAGGTCCAAAAGGATGATGACAGAGGAGAGGGAGGCTGCTTTAGCAGTGTGCAGTTCCTCAGTGACAGCAAGGAGAGCAGTTTCTGTGGAGTGACCTGCCTTGAAACCAGACTGGTGCGGATCCAGAAGGTTGTTCTGATGGAGATAGCAGGAGAGTTGTTTAAAGACAGCGCGTTGTGTTTTTGACAGGAACGGGAGTAGAGAGACAGGCCTGTAGTTTATAACATCAGACGGATTGAGAGTGGGTTTCTTTAGGAGAGGGTTTACTCTTGCCTCCTTAAGACTGTTTGGAAAGTGACCAGAAGTTAGAGAAGTGTTGATGAAATGGGTGAGAAACGGTAGAATATCAGGAGCGATAGTCTGAAGGAGGTTTGAAGGGATAGGGTCCAGAGGACAGGTGGTAGGGCGGGCAGAGGTAATGAGGGTAAGAACCTCACTTGGAGAGAGAGGGGAAAAGGAGGTAAGTGTGTTGGTGGAAGGAAGGTCTGGAAACCCAGTGGTGAGTAAAGGTGAGTCAGAAAAAGAAGAGCGAATATCATCAACCTTTTTTTCAAAGTGGTTAACAAAGTCGCTTGACAGAAGGGAGGAGGGGGAAGGGGCTTTGGGGGGGGTCCAGGAGGGAGGAGAAGATGGAAAATAGTTTTTTGGGATTGGAATAGGAAGATTGGATCTTATCTTGAAAGAAAGTGCTTTTTGCCTGAGAGATCGAAGCAGAGAAAGAGGAGAGGAGAGCCTGATAGGTTAGGAGGTCGTCACGGTGTTTGGATTTCCACCGTTTCCGCTCTGCTGCCCGAGATGTTTTAAAAGAACCACTACATATTCTCAGGACCTGAGCTTGTAGGGCATCCAGTTTTTTAAGGTTTGATTCTGCTGCTGCCTTGAACGCTACACACCCATAATCGAATACAGGTCTCATGAGTGCCCAATATATATTCAGAAGTGATGACCTACTCGCTCCCCACTCCTGTCCCGCCAAACACCGAAGTACATTGTTGACCTTTTTACATTTATTTTGAACTTTTCCTATACGATTGCTCCGTCAAACCAAACACCAAGAAATGTTATTGTATTAACCTGTTCAAGAGGTTGCTTATACGATATAGGAGCAATGTTATGCCGTTTTGTAAAACAAATGACCTGCGTCTTAGCTACTGACAGTTTGAATCCCCATTTATTTGTCCATTTCTCCACTTCAACTATTGCAGCTTGTATTTTCTTTCCAACATGTGCTACATTGCGGCCTTTTGCCCACAAAGCCCCATCATCTGCATACAAAGATTTCCCCACACTTGGATGAACTTGATTAGAAATGTCATGTATCATTATATTGAACAGCAACGGACTACACACACTACCTTGCGGAGTACCATTTCCACAGCATAAACACTTGAATATTCTGCACCTACTCTTACTTGTATTTTCCTGCCCAGTAAAAAATTCATAACCCAATGATATGCTTTACCACCAATTCCCAATGATTTGAACTTGATTAGTAGTCCTTCCTTCCAGAGCATGTCATAAGCCTTTTCAATATCAAAGAAGACTGCAATCACTACTTCCTTATTGGTCTGTGCTTTCCTGATGTCTGATTCTAAGCACAATATAGAATCCATTGTATTCCGACACCTCTGGAACCCACTTTGATATGGGGACAACAGAGCTTTACTTTCTAAGATAGATGTTAACCTTTCTGTAACCATTCGTTCCATGATTTTTGCACAAATGAGATGTCAGGGCAATAGGCCTGTAGCTAGATGGATCTGAAGGGTCTCTCCCTGGCTTAGGATGGGCACCATTATCGCTTGACAATTTAATAATTAGAAACACTAATCTTTTTACGTAGGAAAAAGTAGCCTATTCAGGAAAATGTAATGTATTATCAATATGCATCAATTAATAGTTTGGTTTGTGAAAATAGTGCGACCACCATCACAATTAACCGGAGGCAAAAGTGAAACCTTCACACTGTCTGTTTTGTCCAACCAACAGGCAAATCTTATCGACAATGTATACGATTGTATTACTAAATATGAAACCGGTATCTCTGATGAGGATATGTACGTTACTAGGGAGAAGACTGTCTTGCTGTGAAGCCTCTCATAATTTGGTTACTGTGACCTCTTGAATTTATCAGATAGTGTTACTTTTCACGATTTAAGTCTTGGTTTCTCAAGTTTCATGTCTAACGATTACGCATGATCCGTAATGACAGGAAAACAAAGATGCTGCCTTATATTAAAGGTCACATATAAAACAGGTTGGGAATGTGGATTTTCTTAAGGAATAAAAAAAGCATAGTCCTAAAAAAAGATAATTTGTGCTGCTGAAATTCTATTTTTTGTTCTGTAAATTAATTCCAGAGTTGTTAAACATCCTCCTTCCTCCTTTGCTTTGATCGAAAGAAAGTAAAAATAAATGAAATCGGATATACAAAAAATGGTTTCTCTTGTCTAATTTGTGTATATTAAGGTTTATTAAAAATAACATAAGTATATACATTTATTGTTTTATACTAAACTTTTTAACGCCACTAAAATTAATAAAATCTAACAATCTGATAGGAGGAATCCCTTTTCAATACAGATGCCGAGAGCAAGAGAAGCTGTATTAGACCAGCCGCCACGGAGCTACAGACACTGTTGGGATCTTTAACCAAATTACTGCATTTACTTTTTGCCAAAACAATTTAGTGTGGATTCCACGAGATAGTGAAGCAGTATTCCGGTAAAGCTAGTGCTGAGGAAAACAGACGTCAGACGGGAGGAGGGTGTAAAATGTTGAGATGTTCTTTTTTTTTTTTTTTATTGTTGTTTGAACAGCTCTATGCCTCTTCACAACTCAACCTGCCACACACACTAAATTAACCCTAATTTCTCTCTCACTCACTCACTCTCACACACATTCAGATCTATCGATAAACAAAGTACTGGACAGAAACATTGAAAGTTACACTGTAGTTTAAGAAGACATTTTAAGCTTCAGTTCAAACTCTGCTGTTTAACATCCTTTTCCTTATTAGATCATTATTTTTCATTAGAATTATTCAGTATTTCATGACAAAATAGAGTCAAAATGTTCTTCCTAAACACAACAGAGCCACAGGAAGTGGGGGTTGACGGCTCCTAAATAAAGCGGGAGCTCCTCCTCCTCCTCTCGTGCAGTGATGGGGGAGGGGGGGACTTCCTTTTAGTCCTTCGAGTTATAAATGATCCAAATGAGCTCTTCTCCTTCTCCACACACACAAACCTGGCCAACCTGAAACAGAGACAGGAAGTGAAATGTTAACTGCCAAAAGAGTAAAACAGGAGGTGGTCTGTGAGCCCACTTTGATACAGAAATGTGGTCTTTTAATCAAGATGTATTACTTTATTATCACACTTCGAGTGGTGTCGATACTAAATCAGATCCCACTGGGGAAAAAGCTCGAACAGAGCATCATAAAATGTAAAAGTTCAAATATATGCAGTGAAAAACATTATTAGATTGGAAACAAAAACAACATTGTCCGAAGCTGGTCAGTAGGATGTTTTTATTAAATCGGATAATGAAAGAACACAACACAAACATTACTTAAATGTTTCAAACATATCACATACAGTGGGTCAAATAAGTATTGAATATAAATCACCCTTTTTCTCAGTAAATATATTTCTTAAGGGGTTAATGACATGAGTTATAAAATGGAATGACACAGGAAAAAAGTATTAAACACACTTACTGAAATGTATTAAA